ATGACCTGGTTGCTGTGTTTAATTTTTGAGGGGTTGCCTGATTTGAAGGGTTTAAGTTATTGTTTTATTCTAAGGGAGGATTTTGGTCTAAGGCTGAGCATTGTTTCTAAGCTGAATGGTTTAGCCTGAAAACCACGCACATAAGTATAAACTGAGTATAAAAGAAAGTATTTTACTTATATTTGCATGTTTCCAAACCGAATGGTCCAACGCTAAGCCATATCACTAAGAAGATAAAGAAAATTATAGAGTATAACTGAAAATACTCTGGCAAGTTGAACATTGTTTCCAAGCCGAATGGTTCAGTCCCCTGCCCATATTTGCATTTTCTTTTGAGAACAAAGTTAGAAAGTTATTAAATTTTGGATATTAAACAGTTCACGGCGGCTAGGCATTGTTTCCAAGCCGAATGGTGTAGTCAGATGCCCAAAGAAGAAAAAAGTAGTAGTGCAGCCTGTTCGTGTAAAGCCTAAGGCACGCTGGACATTGTTTCCAAGCCAAATGGTCTAGCACTTGTGCGATATGTAAGTTGGGTATAAGGGTTGAATTACCTGAAGGTTCATGAACTATTTTATATAAATTTATTTTGGGATGGTGAGAGTATTTACCTTTGTGGTTTAGCCTGCATGTGATTGAGTGTGATTACTACTTAGTTTGAATTTCAGTTTGATAGGTAGTTGCTTTAGTTGCTCGCCACTTGTTAGAGCCATAGGAGTTAGTTTCAATTCCTGCATTTTTCGAGCTAAGTTTATTTTACTTAGGTCAATTTTCGTATTTTCTAAGATCTTTTGTTGTACTTGGTCTTGTATAAATTTTGGTAAGCTACTTTCTCTGCGGGAAGCGCTGCCGAAATTTCTGCAAATCCAAGGAGTTAGACAAATTTTGATTTTTCAAAGTTCAACTTGTCTAAATTTTATATATATCTTAGTAAGAAATCTGGAAAGTCTCCTCTTCTAAAGGGAGTGCTGCCCAAATTTTTGCTAATTCAGGGAGTTAGACAAAATTGGACTTTGGAAAGTTGAAGACTATTTCTGTTTTCATATTCAAGCTGATATAAATTTTGGAAAGACACTTTTCCTACAGGAAGCGATGCCGAAATTTTCTTAGTTTAGAGGAGTTAGATTATATTTTGACAGGTGGCAATTCTGGTGATTCACTCTGCATAGGGGAGATTTTGACGGGATCCACCTTTTCTTTGGGCACTTGCTTAGAGGTGGACTCATGATTAGTTAAGTATAATGATTCTTGATGAAATCATGATATGGAGATTACTCTCGATTTGGACTCATAGATTTAGCTTGGAATGACCTTTGTTGTGTTACAGGTCCTCTTGAATGTTTGATTCGAAATCAGGACTACATTCAGCTTGATTCTACAAGGACCACCTTCTGTTATCACTGATAACAGGTCGGTTGTCGATTCGTCAGTTTACGATTCAACTCCAATCCACTTCTGCCACTCAACCTAAAGGCTTTAGCCTAGTGATTTGAATTGTTTTGTTGTGTTTTCGCCCGAACTTTATTTGACTGACCATTTAAAGAAAAATACTGAGTATTTTATTTTGAGGAGTTGCACAAGAGTGAGGTTTGTGTGGCTAAAGCGAGGGGTGTGAGTGCAGAGAATGGTTGGAGTTGACCCCGTGTAGCGCATGAACTTTTTTTGTTGAATCTTTGATGTGATTGCAGGTATGTTTGGTGATTCGGACTTTGGATTTGATTCTGCGCTCACGTACATATATATGGTTGAGAGGAGTCCCACTGTGACTGTGAGAAGTGATCGTCCTATATTTATAACCCTATATATGTATGTGAATATATATGTCTTGAATGTTTCGTGCGGCCTACAATGACCGCGAGTAAGGGTTAAACAGATTATGTTTTCGAGGGAAATAGGAATTTCCTTTTTTTTTAATCCGTTGCTTTTTAGAATTTCTATGGTTGGACGTTGTAGTCCGTGGCAGCCGTCAAAGTTAAACCCCTTGATTTCTTCCCAGACCCTAGATGATGGAGTTGGTCTCCAGGGCAATAAGAGACGGTTGCCACCACAGGTATGCGCCTGTGTACCACCCACTCTTTGCAGAGTACAGAAGAGGGTGTGGTTCTCAACCGCACTTGGCGGTTGTCCAACGTCGATAGATTAACCCTCAAGGCGCGTGTCAGCCGACACTTGAGTGTCGAACGCGACCCTCGAGATTAACGAGGATCACATGAGTATGGGTACTACATAGTATGCCATCATTGCGACCGCTTGCGTACGCTTGCATTGCGAGTCGATATGAGTTAGCCCTGCGTCCGCGCGGTTTTATATTAAGTCTCGCGCGCGACGCCTATCCGAGTTCCGCATCGGAAAGTTATGGGATGACTACTAAGGGACTAAGAGTGACGTCGCGTTGTTTGTCCTCTGTCGTTCTGTATCTGTATGTGTATGTGTGTGTGTGTTTTTATTTTTATGTTCTTTATAATGGTGTGCACGTGGCGTGTGGGATGCGTCCTGGTCGACCGGCGATGAGTTGCGCTTGGGACCTCGACCCCCCAAGATGCCGGTTCGCGTGCGGGTTCGATAAAGGCGTACTACCGCACGTACCCCCTATGCTACAGCGAAAGAGAAATGCCCTCGGCTGGTCCACCTCTACGATTGCAGCTGATCAACTTTCGTACTGTGGACTGGTAGCTCGGCGGGGATATGCCCATCGAAGGGAGGTGACAGCTCCCGTAAGGTGGAGGTAAGTCGTGCCTCGCGTAGGCCCTATCCTGTTGTAAGGGCTCGCGGGAGGTATGGCTGGCGCACTCGGCCGGAGAGGCTTGCGGAAGCTCCATGTGTATTCACGACGAGGATTAAGACCAACTCCTGCGTGACGCGGCCGGGAGGGTCCTGCGCTGCCTTGTGCGGTGCTGAATCGATGCGCTCGACACCGCCCTCGCCCCCTTTCTGCGACACCCACGTAATCAAAATGACCCCAGTCATTATTGCAAAAAAAAACAGAGAGAGTATCAACATCCTTCGAAAAGTGACATGGTGATCTATGCGAGCCCCCACTATGCCAAGCACCTTCCCCTTCCGACAAGGATCTCCAAACAATTACTCTGCACCAAATGTTGGCAACATAAAGCCCTATACCGATGCTCCTCAATAGATGCTATGAAGGTCAAATATCCCAGGAGAATCAAGACGACGACTACGATCCCAAGCACAAGGATTGCAGACTCCATCAATGTAAGCGGTGGTTGCACAAAACTCTTCACGCCCACTCAGCTACAACCACGAGCTCTTACAAATCATCCATAATCAACAAGGGCAAATATGTATGGAGGGAAGGAGGTTAGGCAGCATCAAGTATCCATATGGAGAAGGGGAAGAGGGAAAGGAAGAGGAAGAAGAGGGAATGAGAAGAAGAATGTCCCAGTTCGGTCAAGCGGCTCCATGTGCGCCAACATAACAACAGGGGGTGATAGGAAGTCCCAAAGGCCTTTTCGCCAATTCCTACCTGGATTGGCTCATCAGGGGAAAAAGAGTCCCTCCGTTTTCATTCCGAAAGGGACGAAGCTCTTACGAGCCTATCTAGAGGTATGGAGAAGGGCAGGAGGGAGGGAGAGAGGGGGGGAAGGGGAGAGAGAGAAGGGGAGGACGAGGGAAGAACGGATCGAGAGCATATTACCGATGATGTCGAAGCCGCCGTAGCCCCGCTCATGGCGCAGACAAGCAACACCGGTCGAAATTGGAATTCATAGTGGAGGTATCAAGCCAAGGTGGGAGAGGGTGAGACAGGGAGGGGAGAGAGAGAGAGAGGGAGAAAGGGGGAGTTTGAGATCCGGGATGAGAGACAATGTCGGGGGAACTTCAAGCATGAGCGTTTCTTCCACGCTCCGGGGAGTAGCATTCTGATAGCGGAAGGGCCGCCGTCGAGAGTGCTCACCCCCGAAGGCGCAACGATTGAGGTTTGATCAAACCGTCATCAATTGATTAAATACCATCTGATGGTGTGAAGAAAACCAGGTCTGTTAGACCAGCCTCGGGGTGTCTGGGTTTTCCCAAATTAGGGCCTTCGAATGAAATAGCTCAAATAGGGAGAGCCTCGTGAGGAGGCCTTGATTCTGACTACAAAAACCCATTTTAGATTAAAGGGGGAAATTCTGCGGGGGCATGCGCATCTATTTTGTGCGTGACCGAGCGTGCTCCCGACCGAATCTTCCCTCACACTTCCGGCATGAGAGGTGGCCTCCTTTCCTTACTACAGGCCCAATTATGCATCATCAGGTAGAAGACCCATAACCTTTTTTTTTTTTTTTTTTTTTTAACTTCGTATATAGGAAACCTACTTAACAAGGTGATAAGAGCATCTCCGTTAAGTAGGCTCCAGCGTTGAAGGCTCCATCTATTGGTGGGAAGCTACACCTGCTGGAAATCGGGTCCAGCGTCCCTATACAGAGATGTATTAATATCACCCACTTCCTATGTATGTTCGCGATTCAATATATGTCAGATGATGGTAATACCCTATCCATCAGATGTACAGTTCTAAAAAAAATGAACTAAGACATAATCCCAATCCTAACAAGCAGACCAGGAGGAGACGAAGGCCTAGCTTTGATATGATGTGATATGATATGATACGATGTGATGTATCCGCTGGAAATCAGGGCCAGAGCCCCTATACAGAGATGTGTTGATATCTCCGACATCCTATGTATATTCATTAATCAGTATATGTCAGATGATGGTGGACCCCTATCCATGAGATCTATAGATTCTCAAAGCGAACTAAGGCCTCAGTTCCATTCCTATCTATCAGGCCAGAAGACGAAACCCTAGCTTTGATATGATTTATGTAAGCTCGAGATCAGACCAATCAGGTCCAGCGTCTGAAATCCAGGATGTATTGTATATCGGGTGGGAGTCGGGCCCAACGTCCCTAAACAATGGTGTGTGAATATGCGAAACACCAAACAAAGATGTATGTGATCTAAAACAATGAATCAAACCACCAAACCCTGCCCGTGCTATGATGTGAATGCTCGGAATCAATCGACAATAAGCGTGAAACCCTATCAACATCCCCTATGCAATCAAATGTGAAATCATCGTACTATGATTATCTGAAGAGAGCAGGGGCAGGCAAGAGCAACCACCATTGTCTATCCTACTCCCCTCTGCCGGACAAAAGCGTTCAACTCCATATCAAGGTTGGGGACGGAGAGGATAGTAGACCTATTTTTGCCACCGATCTCGGCGCTGGTCACCGCGCTGATAGCGAACATGGATGCACAAGCACCGCCCCCTACCCCGCTGCTGCTGCCATGATTGCCACCGCCGTCTTCTTCGTTTTCGTTGTTGTTGTTGTTGTTCTTGTCTTCACCATCGTTGTTCTCTCCCACCGTGCTGATGGCGATCATGGGTGTGCGAACACCACTTCGTACCCTGCTTCTGCCATGGTCGCCACCGCCATCTTTGCTCCCTGCCCCGCTGCTGCCATGATTGCCGCCGCTGTCTTCATCGTCATTGTTGTTGTTGTTGTTGTAGTTGTTGGTGCTGTTGTTGTTGTTGTTGTTGTTGTTGTTGTTGTTGTTGTTGTTGTTGTTGATGTAGTTATCGCCATCGTTGTTCTCTCCTGCCATGCAGATGGCGATCATGGCTGCGCAAACACCCCTCCCTGCCAAGCTTCTGCCATGGTCGTCGCCCCCATCTTCATCGTCGTTGTTGTTTGTGTTGGTGTTGATGTTGTTGTCATTGTTGCTGGTGTTGGTGTCTCCATCGTTGTTGTTGTTGTTGATGTTGTCGTCTCTACCGTTGTTGTTGTTGTCTCTACCATTGTTATTGTTGTTTTCTCTACCATTGTTGTTGTTGTTGTTGTCATTGTTGTTGATGTCGTTGTTATCAACCTTCTCACCTTACTCTGATTCCTGCTCGCCATCATCGTTATTGTTATTGTTGTCACTGTATTCCACCTTCTCGCCCTTCTGCCCTATTTCTCCCATTCCCTGCTCCCCTTCGTCGTTGTTATTGATGTTGTGGTTGACATCCTTCTCTCCCTTTGCACCCATCTCACCCATTCCTTGCCACTCCTCCATCACCCACTCACCTGCCTACTCTCCCTTCTCAGTAGCGACCTGATAGAAGAGCGCCGTCAGGTTATCCCACCACCTGCCAACCTCCCCTTCATGCTCATCTCTGTCCCACATAGCCGCATCATGGCTCATCTTTTTTCCTGTTGTCGTTGTAGTCCTCCCCGTTGCCGCCGCCGGTGGCGTTAGCTCCAACTCCAACTCCCACTCTCCTACCTCCCACCCTCCGACCCGGTCTCTGATATCCTGATGCAGATGCGAGTCACTGTCCACACCGGTACTCTCATCATCAACCATCAGGTCACCCCCCCATCCACTATCCCCCCCCGTATGCTCATCTCTGCCCCTCAGTGGCACGACAGCTCCCCAGCTCCTCTCACTCTCGATTTCGCAATCCTCGCAGACTGCACAAATGTTTTCACAGGAGTTGACCGTGTCATCCTCTTCTTGCCCACCATCGTCTCTATGCCAGACGTCGTCATCAGTGTCAAAATAGTTATCTTCATGATGTAGCTCCCCTATCATTTCCATCGCCAAACCAGATAGTTGCGCCTCTATGAGTTTCGTCATCGAAGGATGGCGCTACCCATACCCGCACGTCACGGTCATCCATGTCACCAACAACAGTTGCCTTGTGTCCCATCAAGGAACCACGCGCGACTGCCAGGCGCGCGCACAGGCCTAGCAGCCGGGGAGCTCCTCTCCCCAGGCGCTAGTCTAGCCGGGAGGACCGGGCCTTGCGGTCTGCCTGCATCAGGGCGCTAGCGTTAGCGCAGCCCTTTGAGAAGACCCATAACCTTATTGCCAAGTACCATACTTGTTACCACACTTATTACTAAATATTGGGAGTATCCTAGCCATACTACCGAACGATGAGCTTGGTTGTCCATCCTATTCAGACGAATCTACCAAATTTATCCTATCGTTGAAAAAAAAATTTCCTATTTCATCTCCACCATCATTATTTTTTATTTTCTTACTTATATATTTGTGACGATATATATATATAATTTCTTTTATTATTATTTTTCTTATATGTTTTTACTTTCCTCAATCCTTTGTTATTATTATTATTATTATTTTTTTTTAAATAATAAATATAATAGGGAGGACCGCCAGTGGACATGTGTGTGTGTGTTGCCCCTTGCCCTCTCCTTGCACACACATTCACACTCATACTGTGTGAGAGAGAGAGGTCATTTCCAAATGAATCTGGCCTCATTTCCGCACTGAAATCCAGGTCTTAAATGGGGCCAAATTCTTGAAAAATGACCCCTGATCTCTCTCTCTCTCTCTCTCTCTCTCTCTCCCTCTCTCTCTCTCTCCGGATAATAGGTGAGTGGAAAGAACCACTGCCCCTCAGGATTTCGAAAGGCCCGTCCCCTGTTCCAGCTGCTGTTCCGAACGAAGTGTTTGATGAAACTGCTGGGCCAGATGGTGGTATCTGGACCGCAGCACTTGCGGCAGCAGCAGAGACGGTAGGGGCGGCAGGTGCCAAGGGAGGTGCTGCAACAGACGGGGTGGTTTGAGCGGCAGCGACACTCACCACTGCAGAGTGGGAGTGTTGGGCTTGAGCCACAGGGGAGGAAGAACCACCATGTCCGTGTCGCCGGAGTCGTGGGGAACCGGCCGGTGAGCCGGCAGGGGATGGGGTGTGAGAGTGGAGGGGAGAGCGATGGGGAGAGCCCTTAAGGCGGTTGACACCAAAAGCAAACGCATTGATTTGCGCTTGCAATGGTCCAAGTGTACTAAGTTGCGCCTGGATTGCTACAAGGACGGCATGAAGGTCCACGGTGTCCGCATGGGCCTGATCATGAGCCGCTGATTGCGCGGTGACCTGGGATGTGCACTGCGCCGTGGCGATTTCCTCGGTTGTAGCGCTCTCAGTGGGCGGTGGAGAGAGAGAAGTAAACATGGTGGGAGGTAGGGGGAGATATGGGTTGTGGTATGAGGACAGAGGACCACCGGTGAGAGGTAGGAGACCGCGAGAGCGGAGTGGGTAATCGTGGGTCGGCTCACCCCGTGACCAGCGGGTCGCGCGTGAGATGGTGGCGCGAATCCGGTCGAGGGGAGAGGAGCACTTCAGGTCCAGGGTGCCCGACGGGAGGAGGCGAGAGAGTAAGGGGGGGGGGGGTTAGGAGAACCCTAAACCCTAAAAAACCCTAAGAAAACCTTAAGAAAACCCTAACCGGAGTTTAGGTGGTTAGGGGAGGGTAGCAGCGACCTAATCAAGCAAAGAAAATAATAACTATGGGAGGGAGGGGGAGAGAAAATAAAATAAAAAAATAAAATAAAAGAATAAATAGAAATAAATAAATAAATAAAATGTAAGGAGTGAGGAGAGATAATATTTATTTTTTTGGAATTTTCGTCAACATTTTCCCACCCCACATGGGGCCAAAAATGTGCCAAGAGGAAGGAAAGAGCAAGAGGAGCACACTAACTTTCAAAATGCCGTAAATTAAAATTTTCAGAAAAATAAATAAATAATAAATAAACTAGGCTACCAGAGTGGCCCGGGGTCACTTGCCCGGCCAGGCCAGGAAAAAAAAAAAAAAAAAAAAAAAAAAAAAACAATATTTTTAAATTTTATTTTGTATTCTAAATTTGGTAAAAAATTTGGATGTGACCCTGAGGCAAAAGTTGTTCAATTTATTTTTCTGCATAACATAGTTTTTTTTGGGATTTTTTGGATTTTTTTTTGTTTTTTGTTTTTTTTGCTGGGGCCTTCCCTGGTCCTTGCACGGGCTGGCCACCGGGGACCCGGGCGGCCCGGCTGGTAGCCTAGTAAATAAATGAATAGATAAATAAACAAGGGGGTGGAGGAGACTGAAGAGAAACTAAGTTTTGGAGTTTTTTGAAAATTTCGGCAGCATTTCGTTACCCCCATGGGGTCAAAGTGTGCCGTCAAGAAAAGACTAATTTAAATGAGAAAATTTGGCCAGGGCTTCGCTACCCCCAAGGGTTCAAAATGTGCGGTAAGAAGAAAGTAGGGAGGAAAGACAAAATTTCGGCAGCACTTCGTTACCCCCAAAGGGTCAAAATATGCGTCGACAACAGAAAATACTAAGTCCTAGCAAGATATAGAGGTGCTGCAGAAAATTTTGAATTTTTAGAATAAATAAAATAAAAATAAAAATGAATCGGAAAATGAGAAAAAAAGTAGGGAATAAGATAGTTCGAATTTTTGGGGGAAAAGAGAAAATTTAAATAAAAGAGAGAGAAAATGAGAAAAACAGAAAATTCGAAGTTGGGTGGGGGGGGGATGGAAAAGTGATGAAGAAAGAGAGAAATAGGTGAGAAAAGAAAGAAAAAGTGAAGTGGGGGATGGGGGAGATGATGGGGTTGTAGTTGGGGGAGGGAAGGAGGAGAGGAGGGTGGTAGAATGAGAGAGAAGGATATGGAAAAGGTGGAGAGGAATAGATGAGATTAGTGAGAGATGGTGAGTGGGGAGGAGAGGAGAGAAAAAGGTTATGGAAGATGAGTGGAGAGGGAGGTAGGAGTAGAGAGTAGTGGTAGGAGGGGAGAAAAGATGATTAAATGATGGGGGGGAGGAGAGAAAAGGGGTAAGAGGAGAAAGGGTTAGTGGTAGGATGGTGATACCGAGCTCTTGGGTGGCCAAGAGCAGAGCACTACCAAGATCCACAAAATTTTGGCCTTGAAGGTGCAGCTGGCCTGATGCCACTGCAAAAAGAAAATGTTGGGGTGGGCTGAGATCTTGATCAGCCACCCAGATGCTCCTATAGCACAGCCCCCTAGCCAGGGGGGTCTTCAAGATCCACGGCAAGTTGCCACGTGGCACTGCAAAGAGGCAGCACGTGCCAGCCACGTGTGCAGCCAGCAGCACCCACCGGGGGGGGGAGGGGGCAAATAGGTTTGCCGCACGCTGCTCGCCGCTCGCCGCTCGCCGCTCGCCGACGGGGGGGGGGGGGGGGGGTTAAATAGCTGCTGTGCCACCTCTTTAACAACAATAACCTACAATATTAGCTCATACTGTGGCTTTGGCCAGTGTGTTAAGACACTGGCTAAGCACGCGCATGAGCAGCAGCTGCCCAGGTTCAAACCCTGGCAACTGCACTCTCGGATCTTAATAAAATACAATCCGGGAGCGGGGCGGGGGCGGGCCAGCGTGGGTGCGTGATGCGCGCGCGCGTGCTGCGACCTTGGCCTTGGTGTTGTCGGGATTACACCGATTCCCGTTGTTACGTGTCGGGAGGGAGGGTGGGTTGGAGCGGGGACCGTTCCCGCTCCGATACCAGTGTGCCGGACCTGCCGGGATGGCGGTCCGACAGGATGGAGATGAAGGGGTAAAGGAAGGAGGAAGTGGATATGGAGCTGGAAGGGACAGCGCAGCTCCGACGCAGACTCAACACTGCACGTACTCCAACAAGTGCAAAAATGATGAATGACGAAAAACAGACAACAGCTGGGGTATACCCCCAGCGGACTGACTGACTGGACTGGCCTAGCCTGGTACCGACAGTGGTACCAGGCTGGACTGGAACAGCACACGGCCTGTGGGGTCAGGCCACGGCCTGGTCCCACAGGCCAAACTGGCAAATAGCCAAATAGGCCCTGGCTGTAGGCCAGGGCAGATGGAGGCCCGCTGCAAAGAATATCCTCTTCTTCAACTTCCATATGCTGCCTACTTGGTCATGCTCCCCTCTTACCACTACCCAGTCACTGTCGTCTAGGGTTAGTCCCTTTTTTAAACGCAAACCCAGTCTTTTTTTTTTTTTTTTTTTTTTTTTTTTCTGAGGCTCTGCTGAAAACCGGGTTCAGCATCCCATCCATCTCAAAAAGAAAAGAGATGCAGACCCAGTCAATGGGAATAGAAAAGGTAACGTTGTCCAGGCCTTCACCTATATTGTGATAATACCTAAGGGACCGTCTTAGCTGTGACTCTATCGTCCAATCCTTGTTGTTTTGGTCCCATGTATCCTCTACTCTGAGCGCACCCTTTTTAACCCATCCAGACGATGGGGCAACACAACTGCAGAAAACCCAACCTTGTCTGTCAAAGGCTGGCGAAAAACGTCCTCCCATCGCATAGGCGAGGGAGGGGACGTCTCCGCCAGTCATTTGCCCAAACATTTTTAAGGTGGAGATCGGCTTGGGGAGCTGCTCGATCTGTTAATGCTTCGTGAGAGTGGGATGGTCTCAGGATGGACCGGTATTTGTCCTCCAACCAGACCAAGGGGTTCATTGTTGTGGGAGTTTTGGTACCAGTCATGCGATCTATTCTAGTGCCAAAGGTCGCTATGGTAGTTGGGGGGTGAAAACCAATCTTTGTAGTCACTGCAGGGAGAGGGTCATCGTTTGAAGGACTGGATTAATAATTCCTAGTCCTCCCCTTGTTTTTGGCCGAGTCACTGCTTCCTTAGCGACCTGGCCAGGAGAGAACTCCCCAGTGCTCCCCACATACCCCAGTACCTGAGGCGCTATCACCGCTTCACCATCCTCTTTCGTACTCTGATGCAAGCAGTCCGTTGCCTCACACCTACCAACAACCCAGGGTTGTCAACCCGGTTAGCCTGAGTACGCGTGCCGGTTCACCCATGCCCCACAGTCCGTTGTGAC